ATTCCTGACAGGAATAAGAGCAATCTTAAAGCTGGTTTATGTTATGAGTAGTGTAAGAGCCATCTTGGATCAGTTAGGCTAGCTACTTGGGTGTTTTGTATAACTAGAGTGGTGCAAAGCAGACAGCATCAGTGAATTGGGCCCAAAGATTATGAAAGCCCTATAATTGATAATTCACTTAAAAAAGCCAAGATGTGTGAAAATTCACATTAGACATTCTGCTAAGAACCTTAATTCTGAGTCAGACGATATCACTGTATGTGATCATAGCATGTCTCATATAAGTTTACAATGACTGTTTTAAAAGACTTAAAATAGTTTCACTTCAAATGAACAGTTGGGGTCCAGATCTGGATCTAAATCTTCCCCAGTTTTCAAGGGTTACAATCAGGTGTGATGGTTCAGCTCTAACTATAAGAGAAGGGCTGAAGGTGAGAAGTCTGTATCTTAGAACATAGCATAAGAGTGGCCATACTGGGTCAGACAAAAGGTCCATCTAGCCCAATATCCTGTCATCTGACAGTGGCCAATGCTAGGTGCCCCAGAGGGAATGGACGGAACAGGTAATCATCAGGTGTTCCATCCTCTGTCCACAGGCGCCGACTTCTACTGGCGCCAGTGGGTGCTCAACCCCCACTCTGCCCCTGGCCCCGCCCCAACTCCACCCCTGCCCTGCCCCCTCCTGCCCCCATTCTAACCCCTTCCCCAAAGTCCCCGCTCCAACTCCGCCCCCTCCCTGCCCCTATTCCGACTCCTTCCCCAAATCTCTGCCCCGGCCCTGCCTCTTCCCTTGAGCGTGCCACATTCCCGCTCCTCCCCCTCCCTCCTAGAGCTTGCTACAGCTGTTTGGTGGTGGGAAGCGCTGGGAGGTAGGCGGAGGAGTGGGGACGCGGAGCGCTCAGGGGAGGAGGTGGAGGAGTAGGTGAGGTGAAACACCCCGCTCCTCCGCTCCCCTCTAGTTCAGAGACACTGGGAGCTGGATGTAGAGCTCCAGGTCCTCTGTATTTTCACCAGAAACTATCACCAATAAATGTAACATATTTTAATGATCAAATTATTTACACATTACCCAAACTTTGTTGTTTTGTGTCTGATATTGCTGCACGGTTAAGATATATCTTTAAAGCACATCTTCTGCAATGTAATGGCCAGAATTCTGTTCTCTGTATACTTTAACTGACATATGCCACATGTGGTTTATTCATTATTTTTATTACATTGATAACCTACACTTCACTGTAACAGGCCAGCAGGGGTTGAGCAATCTCCGGGTGCAGGGACTCCTGAACAGTTGTCACTGACTATGAAGCTCAGTCTGGAACTCTGTCTTCTCTGTCCCAGAAGTACAACCACCTACTCTTCCTCAGAAAGACTCCCCTTGGTGTGCAGTTGACCACAGTGGAACAGGGGTGAATGTAGCCTGAAGCTGTTATTGGTGTGTGTAATGTGAATTTTCACACATTTTGATTTTTGCAAAGAGAATGGATGAAAGGCAAAGCTGTTGGTATCTATAGCTACATCACCTTAAAGGAATATTGGCAGACTTTTTAACCCTTATGATTTAATTAGTTGCAGTGTTCTTGATATAGAGTTTTATTCTGGTTACATTAGCCAGCAATCAACAAACTTTGTTTCTGTTTTGGAATATATATGTGTGTGTGTGTGTGTGTGTGTGTGTGTGTGTGTGTGTGTGTGTGAGAGAGAGACAGAGACAGAGACAGAGAATGAGTGAGAGTGAGAGAATGCACGTGCATGGTTTTGCAAATCCCACCCACATACATATCATATTCACATAGCTGATGGTGTGGAGTGGTTGTCCTTTTTACTGAGGAGTGATGAATTCACAAGTGAGTTATGCAGGCCACATAAGTGCCAGGAACACCCTTGTGCCACACCACACTTTCATGCACTTTGTAAATGCCACATATTTTACAGAAAATGGTACAGCTAATAATGTTTCTGAGAGTATTAAAAAGTTTTATTGGGACTTTAAAAAAAAAAATTCTTCCATCTGCAAAGCCAGGCTCCGTTAGTACCAGGAATCCAATTATACAGAGTTCAGACGGAGAGAATAAAACATAACTAATACCAGAAAACACCTCTAAAATAACCCCAATAGCTTTTCTATAGACTCAGTCAATCTCAGTCAATTCCAGGGCTAAAAGCAAGAGTTGTCCCATTGCGAAGTTCTGTTTCTCTCTCCTCACCATGTGGCATGGGGTTGACAGCCCAGGGTGCGAGGAGGCAATTGTAACATTGCTAGATCAATGACAGACTGAACAGGAGCAGTAATCTGTACGACACTCATTTGGCTTACTCCTAGTCTGTGGGTGAGGGCCCAATTTGGTAAACACTTAAACATGTGCTTAAACCCTAATGCTTTGCTGAACTCAGGCCCAGAAGAACAAGCAGAAGCAAATCAAAGCTCCCTCTAAAGAATAGTTCCTGCAGGCCATGCCAGGAGCTGATCCATTGGGCAAGTGGGTGAATGTGCAGGGGACAATCTTGGTATCTCTACACCTTGGTGACTTTTGCAGAATCAGCAAGTAGGGTCACTAGTACAGGGTGACTGGAGTCTCTTCTCTTTTCCAAGGGCAGAGTACTGCTTCCACTGTGTCATTGGCTCTACTGGCCCAGAAGCAAAGCAACCACCTGAAATCTCATTGTCACTTTCCCACTTAGCATCTTGTGTTACTCCTAGATTGTTGGTCTCATCATAAATTTTATTTTGAATATTTAAACATTGTAATCTCCAATCCAAGTTATTTGGGATGGGGAAGTGGGAGCTTGATTTGATTTTTTTTAAAATATAAATTGTGTTTGCAGTTAGTTGGTGTTTTATATTAAATTACATGTGCCTAGAGATTATGATGGATGCATTTTTAATAAATCCAAAAATAAATCATATTAAATTAACCAAGCTAGTCTCCTGATTAATTCTGAGTAACCAGATTCATCTCATAAATTCCAAGCCACATTACTTAGTGACAGGGCTGACTCTATAGCATGATTTCATGAATGATCCCACCTGGCTCTGTTCCCAGAAAGCAGCCCTCACTGCACACTCCTATTCACCCATGACTTGTCTCTCTCATATTTCAGATGGCCACATGGACACTTTGCTAGGCATATTTCAGGAGCCCATTGTGTACAAGTACTGTACAAACACAGAAAGCTGGTCCCCACCTCAAAGAGCCTACATTTTAAATGTAAGATGGATACAGCTGCTTAAGCCTATAATGTGTGTGTGCCTGTGTATGAAATCCACAGGCATATGTGAGGAGGGCTGGAGGTAGCTCAGAGAGCACTCCATTGGGAGGTGGGAGGAGCAATCAGGTGTTGGATGTGTGCTGAGAGTGGAGGACCAAAAGGACCATATGTTCCATGTGTCTTTGATAGGCTCTCTCCTCAGCCTCAGTTTCCCTGATCAACAGGGAATCCACAAAAGTCCCTCAGTTTCCCTGATCCTACCTAGTACCTGTCCAATTTGCTAGCACCTGGGGAGACTCATATGCAGGAGTGAAAGTAGAAATAGGGACTTACCGGTATGGGGCTGTGTTGGGGCCGGCTCTGGCCCCCAGAAGGGGTGGGGCCTCGGGCGGAAGGGGTGGGGATGGGGGGTCAGAGCCAGCCCCAGCCCGCCCTGTAACTGCCCTCCCCCTCCCCCGCCGGGGTAGCAGCGGTACTGGGGGCTCCGGCAGCAGTTTAAAGGGCCCAGGGCTTGGCCGCTGCTACGGCCCTGGGCCCTTTAAACCACTGCCGGAGCCCCCAGCTGCCACTGCTACCCCAGGGCTCCAGCAGCAGGGCTCCAGGGGCTATTTAAAGGGCCCGGGGCTCCCCTGCTTCTACCGCCCCGACCCTTTAAATAGCCCCTGGAGCACTGGGGTAGCGGTGGCAGGGCTCCGGCGGCTATTTAAAGGGCCCAGGGCAGTAGAGTCAGCGGGAGCCCCCGCCCTTTAAATAACCCCCAGAGTCTCGCTGCCGCTACCCCAGGGCTCCAGCAGCGGGGCTCTGGCGACAATTTAAATGGCCCAGGGCTCCAGCCGCTGCTGGGAGCCCCAGGCCCTTTAAATTGCCGCCTGGGGAAGCCGGGCCGCCCCGGTACGGCGCACTGACTCTTGCCGGTACGCCGTACCAGGGCGTACCAGCTTACTTTCACCTCTGCTCATATGCCAAATTTTGAAAATAATACTTTTACCTACTACTACTACTACTAACAACAAATAGCATGCTAGGGAGAGTTGAAAACTCAGGGGATTGCTACCATGATATGGAGACTTTTACCTATAAATCAGCAGTTTAATTCCAGCCCAGATTGACAGTAATCAAAATTTGACACCAATGTAAAATGTGTTGGAGGTTTCAGTGATTCCAAACTTGCACTGAAATAATTAAACCACCAAGTGAAAGTCTCTGTTTTAGAATAAATGTGTCTGATTTTGATTTAACTTGAGCCATTTTTTACTGATTTAAGCAAAAGCAAACTACGCTACTCTAATTCCAAAATAGGAGTGTCCACGTGTGCAGGCTTGCACTGAGAAACAAATGGTATGAATTCAAACCCATTGAGTTAGTTCAATGCAAGTTTGTGTGCAGACAAGGCCTCATTCCAGTTCCCAGTAGCCAAGTATAGGGAGCTAGACAGACGATGCTGCAAAGAACACCAGCAGAATTGGTACTAATATGACCTCTTTTTGGGTGTTTCAGCAGAGAAGCCAAGGACTAAATTGCTCACAAGATTAAACTCCCCTCTCTGGCCAGGAGTGTTCCCCTCCAGGTCAAGCCTGAGCTGCAGAGGCAGGGTGGGGGTGGGGGTGAGTCTGGGGGTGGAGGAATCTTGCCCTGCTTCCTAGGCTATATCTATTCTGTATATAAGCACAGAAGCTCCATCTCCAGAGCCACCAATCTGGCACCTTCCGCCAGCACTGAAATCATGAAATCAACAAGAAAAATAAAAAAAGCCAGCATGTGTGCAGAGGAACAGAAACTGACTCACTCACCCACTGGTTCCAGGTCTCTGGGCCTGAGAGAAACGCCAGTCCGGGTTAGGCTGTGCTTGCTACAAGGGAAACAGAAAAGTAATTTAATGCCTCTATTCTAGCCTTTGGAAATCAAAGCAAACTGATCCAGGATTATTGCAGCCTGGAAATCCATTCATGCTTAGGAGAAGCTAAAAATGTAGATGAAAGAGAATAATTTTAAAATTCAGTGGAGTAACCAGAAATATACCTCTCCATCCAGGTAAAACAAACAAACAAAGACACAAAACAACCAGATCCCCCTCCCTCTTGAATATTCCTGAATCAAGACAATTGCTAAAAAGCATGACAAAACAATTCAGTGAATAATCTTCCAGAATAAGCTAGGAAACCAAGCTGTGAAAGAAATGGAGCATGCTATGGACTGATAAGCACATCAATTTAATCTAAAGAACTCTATAGTACCAGAAATAATTAGCTGAGGGAGAAGCAGAGTTAATTGATACTGAGAAAGATGTGTTTTAACGCCAGAAGCTGAAATGATATCAGAACTTCCTAATTTGTCCTTTCTCCCTTTCTAAAAATGCTTGCACAGTGTCTTGATTTCACATTCTATATTTTAATTAATCTTTTCCTGGATACTGTGGCCTTGGTGCATTACAGTATTTTTCTGTCTATGTAGAAAATAATTCACTTCCCACAACAAAATATATTATTTGTTTAGGAGACATAACAGACTATAGACATAACAGACCACTATGGAACTTGATTAATGGGCCCTGTATCACTTTCCACCCACAGTTTTATTATCAGACAAGGGGCAGTTTGTAAATAAAGAAATATATGAAACAGCTCTATGTATTAAGTCTTTGTAAGGAGAGTTAAAAGGGAGAACTGTTTTCTGCCTGAAATACAAGTACTTCCCAAAATCATAGACTTCTAGCTATCTTCTTAATTAACTCTGCAGTAATATCGTGCTGTCTTTAGCTCTGTAAAGATGTCTCCTGGGTTATCTTGGGAATGAGCAGTTTAGGCTTTATAAAGCAGAACAGGAGTATTCTGCTTGTATATACAATTACTAAGGAAAATGGAAGATAGATACAGCTGACCTAGTTTTTATTTATCAGAAGTTGTGATATTACTAATTTACCTATAGCTTTAATGATTATGGTAAAGAAAAGCCTCAGAATAACTACTGATTTCCCCACAAAGGAGTCCCATTGTCATCCAAGCTGTATGTATGCAAATTAAAAAGTATCTATCTTTGACTTCTTTTAAAAAATATTTACACACACACAACAATACATATATAGACACACATTTTGTAAATGAGGCCTTCTCTATTTATTTTCTGAAATGTTACTGTAATTGTCACTTTCAATTTTAGGACATACAGTTACTGACAAAAATAATTTTAGAGCTGGATCCCAAAATGATCAAACCTGGATGCCTAAATTTAGGCATTTATAGCCACGTATAGGCATCTAAATAAAAATAGCCTTATTTTCAACTGTTCTGAGCGCCCTCCGATCTCACTGAGTTCAGTGGGAGCTGCAGGTGCCAAGCACCTCTAAAACTGGGGCTACGTATTTATGCTTCCAAGTTTGAAAATTTTGGCTGGAGTTGTCATCGTGACGTGATCAGCATGTAGTACAATACATCACCAAGTGAAAAGTTTCTGCCACACACCTGCAAAATACTCAAAACAGATAAACTTTGTTTAGCAAAGTACTCAGTTCCAAGTCCAGCTTCAGAATAAAGTAGTAAGAGGTAAATTCAAAAAACTTCCTATTTAACCTGAAGAAAAGCTGGAAAGCTTACCTCTCTGACCAACATAAGTTGGGCCAATAAAAGATATGACCTCACCCATTTTGTCTCTCTAATATCCTGGGACCAACACAGCTACAGTAACACTGCATATAACAACGCAACGTGTCACTTACAAAACTTAGAGTATGTAATCAAGGAATGGTCTAAGGAGAAGCTGCAGCTACCTGGGCCAGTCACTCTCAATTTAGGGCTCTGGTCCTAAAGTGTTAGATGCTATTCCCACCCAGGCATCCCACCTCCATTATGCAGAGCCCCGACTTTTCCCCCTCTTTCTTGCTGGACAGGTGAAGGTAACGCACTTTCCCCAGGAGGCCAAAGTGGATTGAAAGGCCTGAAGGAGAAGAGTGGATATTTATGAACAGCAGTGACTCTGAACAGAAAGGACAGCAGGACACACACACAGCTTACCCCATCGCAGGGACTCACTGAAGCACTGGCCACCTGATCAAAGGCAGCCATGCTCTCCCCGGTAGTGGAATGGCTGAAAGGTTTTATGAAGAGGAAATCCCCCTGATCAGACATTGGAGAGAAACAAGACTTGTAGTGTTGTGCCTGGGACACCAGCCCAGCTCCACCCACATCCAGATACTTGATGAAACCATCCGGATTCAACTGCCCAGGGAAGTTCGATGCAGACTTGCAGCTTGTCCTCCTACAACAGTGTGAGAGGGGCCAGCCTGCAGCTGTGGAGCCCGATTTGAGGCACCTGGTGCCTAGGACAGCCAGCATCACGCATGACACCAGGGAAATGGCTACCAGGGAGATGATGAGGTAGAGAGTGATGCTGGATGCTCTGGAAGGCAATTTGGGAAGGTCCAAGGCCTTGGCAAAGTCTTGTACAGCGTTCTCCTCGGGGGAGATGACTAGAGTCACTGAGGTGGACAGGGAGGGGGTCCCATTGTCCCTCACCTGGACCACCAGCCTGTGGGGCGCTCCTGACTCCCTAAGTGCCTCAGTTATTCGGATCTCTCCGGAGCGGAGCTCCACCCGGAAGGGACATGGCTCACTGGTCTCCTGGAGCTGGTAGGAGAGCCAGGCATTGTGGCCGCTGTCAGCATCCACCGCCACAATCTTGGTGACCAAGTAGCCGGGTTCTGCCGAGGAGGGTACTGTCTGTTGGAAGACGGAGCCCCTGGGGACGGGTGGGTACACAATGGTAGGCGCGTTATCGTTCTGATCCAGGACGAACAGGTGGAGCATGGCGGTGCTGCTCAGGGCAGGGGACCCAGCGTCCTGCACCTCCACGGGCACCTGGAACACTTTGTCCTGCTCATAGTCAAAAGCCCGTAAGGCGTAGATGGTGCCGTTCTCTGGGTTGATGTGGAGGTAGGCTGAGAGGGGCACATCCTGCATGCCAGTGTCCAGAATAGAGTAGGATAGCTTGGAGTTGGCGCCCACATCAGGGTCAGAGGCGGATACAGAGAACACGGAGGCCCCAGGAAGGGTGTTCTCCTGAATGTGGGACGTGTAGGAGGGGCTGGAGAACCTGGGCATGTTATCATTCACATCGGAGATCTGCAGGAAGATGGTTTGCTCGGTGGACCTTCGAGGGGACCCGGCGTCTGTGGCCATAACAGTGATGTTGTATCCAGCAGCCTTCTCTCGATCCAGTGGCCCAGTGGTGACCAGTGAGTAATGCCCTTTGAAGGAGCTCACCAGTTTAAAAGGAAGATCATTGCTTATCTGCAGATGGACGTGTCCATTTTCCCCAGAGTCACTGTCCTTGGCACCAACTAGCGCTATCACAGTCCCCAGGGGCGCATCTTCCTGCACCGGGCTGGACAGGGAGGTCAGCACAATGTCCGGACTGTTATCGTTCACGTCCACCAGTTCCACCCGGAGGCTGCAGTGCCCCTCCATTGCGGGGGAGCCCTTGTCTCTGGCTCGAACAGTGATCTCGTAAGCACTGGAGTCCTCGTAATCCAGCGGGGCTTTGGTTGTGATCTGCCCTGTCTGGGGGTCCAGGCTGAACAGCCTGAGGAATGTATCGGGGGCATTATTGCTGGTTTTGAACGAATATTCAACCTCCCCATTCAGGCCTTCGTCCAAGTCAGTGACGTTCAGCTGTGTAACCAGCGTCCCTGACAGGGCGTTTTCTTCCAGAAACACTTTGGAAATCGGCGGATCACACACAGGGGGGTTGTCGTTGGCATCCAGGACATGAACTGTGATCCTGGCAGTGCCTGATCTCACCGGGTCCCCACCATCAAGAGCTGTTAGGGTTAAGTGATGGGCCGCCACTTTCTCTCTATCCAGGGCTTTCTCCAGCACGATTTCAGGCATTTTCACACCATCTCCCCTTACATTTATGCTCAGGGCAAAATGGTCACTGGCGCTGAGTTCATAGGTGGAGATGGAGTTGGAGCCTATATCTGGGTCTTCTGCTACCTCCAGGGGTAAGCGAGTCCCTGGGTTCGCTACCTCGGTGATCTCTAAAGAAACTTCCTTCTTCGGGAACTGCGGCGCGTTGTCGTTGACATCCAGGATCTCCACCTCCACCCGGTGCAGCTGCAGCGGGCTCTCCAGCACCAGCTGGAGCTGCAGGAAGCACGTGGAGCTCAGACCGCACAGCGCTTCCCGGTCTAGTTTCTCATTCACAAGCAGGACTCCATTGGCCAGGTTCACCTGGAAGTGCTGGCGGCCGCCCTCGCTGACCAGCCGGAGGCTGCGGGCCGATAGGCTCCGCACGTCCACAGCTAGATCCTTGGCAATGTTCCCCACAAAGGAGCCCGGCTCGAGGTCTTCGGGCACTGAGTAGCGAGTCTGTGCGCCAGCCGGGTCCGGCAGAGAGAGGAAAGCACCAAGCAGCAGGAGCTGCCAGCTCAAACTCGGTCTCCCGGCCATGCCGCGCTCCGTTGTATGTGTCTGAAACCACTCGGCGCCGCCTCCCCGGCTCCCGCCCCGCTCGCTGCCTCCCGGGAACTCGCGCCGCCGGTTCCAGTGTCCCCAAAGTCCGCTCCTGGGGCGCTCCCGGCTGCCCGGCAGGGCGTAGCGGGGGGAGGGGAGCTGCAGCCGGAGGGGCGGGAGGGGAGCTGATCTCAAATGCTCAGTTCCCCGGCAAAGAGCGTCGCAGAAAGTCGGCGGGCGATGGGTGCTGACAAGTGACAATCCCTCCTCCCGACAGCAGTGCCCCTTCCCCAAAACTCACCCACCCTGCGCTTCACGCACGCAGCCCCGCCACACACCCCGCTCTGCACCGCCGGGACGCTGGCAGTGAGTCACCGGCAAAGGACACCCTAAGCCCCGGGGG